GCACAATGCCTTTATTTTTATGTGGTGCTGAGGATTGAACCCGGGTCCTGCCAGTGCTAGGCGAGCGCGCTACCGCTGAACCACAATCCCAGCCCAAATTTGGCATTTCTTAAAGCATAGAAAACATAGGAATATCATCACAAGGAAAAATTATTCTGAAATAGTGCTTTTTTTTTTGGTACCAGGAATTGAACTCAGGGGCACTCAACCACTGAGCCACACCCCCAGTCCTAGTTTGTATTTTATTTAGAGACAGGGTCTTTCTGAGTTGTTCAACTCCTCATTAGGTTCTTGAGGCTGGCTTTGAATTCCTGATACTTCTGCCTCAGCCTCCCCAGTGCTGGGATTACAGGCATGCGCCATTGTGCCTGGCTGAAATAGCTTATTTTAAAAGAAATGGAGTTAATTTTTAATCAGTGAACATTATCAAAAGCATTATTCTTGTCACAATTTTTTAAAGATAATTTCTATTGTAAACCTTGGCCAGTGTTGATTTGAAGCAGTGATGCCCCACGAACAGGGAGCCACGAGAAAGAAGAGATAGAATAAAAAAATGAATAGAAAAGTCATAAAAGGTGAGGCTCATTGTATGAATCCCATGTTAATTCTAATGATAAAGGTAATTTCTATGAATAATCCAAGTAACTTATAATTCAATTATGACTCTTGGAAACCACAAATAGGCATGTTTTACTGTGTTTATGGTTATTTTATAATACCATGCTTTTGGAAAGGAAAATATATAAGCTTTAAATAATTATCAAATTTATTTTACATTCTTTAGTTGACTATGGAATTTTTTCTGCCTTTATACAATTCCAAAGTCTTTCATTTGCAACAATAAGCATGGACTCTAATTTTCCATGCAATTTGCCACAGTGTAAAGATAAATTTTAAGTACAACATTTAACCAGGAGCAGAGCCTGAGCCGCCTTGCAGTAGTATCTGGGGCCATTCACTGTCACGGTTCCTCTCTGCTGTCAAATCTGCTGTCTTCACGTTTTGCATTCAGTGTTCTCTTGCGCAGCATCCCCAGAATACATTATTTTTATGTTTTCAATCCAAACAAAATATATATGCTTTCATACAAGTCACATGTGTGTGTTTGGCAGGCCACACATTAGAATATAATGTGCTGTTTTCTCATAGATCAGAAACCAATTCTTCCTCTTCTTCTTTAGTCAGAGTATAAGGCCACAATTGCAATCATTGCTTTAGGCTTGTGCTTTGAATCTGTATTACTCTGTTCTCTCATTGCTATGGTTTTTGCTATTGTTGTGCATGCATGAAAGCTCCTCTCCTTCTAAAGAAAAACAAATATGGGAAAGGTTTCATTAGAATGCATTTTCTGTAGGTTAAGGGGAAGCAATAACTGTAAATTAAAAAAAAAAAAAAACCTTTGGATACTATTTTGTTCTGCCATGGTGATGTAACTTCTGCCAAAAAGGCTTTTCTTTCTGTTCCACTTCATTCTTCAGAAAATACATAAAATGTCACTTGGGAGAGACTTAACCAAGTAAATAGAGACATTTTGGATCAAAATACACTATGTGTTGCTTTTAAAGACTTAGCTAAAATTCGTGATTATTTTATTTCTTGTTTTTGGTTATTAGCAATGTCCCAGGATGGCAGAAGCCACTATCACAGAGGAGCCCCACTGTAGACATTCCTGTGAGACTTGGGCCTCTGGAACATCTGGGTTAGCAGGATTATCGGTCCTATCAGCAGTCAAGCAGAAGCTTCTACCTGGAGGGAGAGAAGCTGGGGAAGGGGTGCCAGGGAGGGAGGGAGGTGTGCCCCCGCATAGCAACCAGATGGCCTAGAGCTGAACACGCAGGGGAGGTCCTGCAAGGAAGGTAGCTCCAGGTGGCTGCAGCAAGACACATAGAGATCGGAATGACAACTGGAGGAGCTGATAGCATTTCTTTTAAGCTGTGATGAGGCCATTGAAGGAACTCTAAGGATGATGTCAGCATCAGCAGACTAATGGTGATGTGATCTGATAAGAGATACTTTAGCATAAAAATATCCAAAATGGATATCATTGTGCTGCAGTGAAAATGGATAATGCTTTGAAGCTGTAGATTTTTGACAAGGTGAGGTGGGGGCTTCTGTTACGTGAAATTCAGAACGCTATTGTGAGTAATTTTTTTTTCCTTATGTTCTCCTGTTTTTTAAAAGACACTATTTATCTTTCAAAACAGAGAAAATAAACTAAAAAAATTAAATGTGACAATACTCCAGTGACAGTACTATTGACTCCTACTTGTAGTACTAAGAGAAACTCCTACTTGTAGTACTAAGAGAAACCTTGGAGAGAGATGCTGTGTGAGCCAATCTGCAGGTGAAGTTCTATTCAGCAGTCAAAAGAAAGCAGTCCTATTGAATACATGCCATCTCTGTCCCATTTACAAACAAGGATATTGAGTCAAAGGCCGTTTGCATCATCTGTCCAAGACCTTTTCTCCAAAATGGGGGAGAGTCAGGATGAGAACCAATATACTCAAGATCCCACCATCTTATACATTAAGCTCCTCTTTGGCCAGAAATATAATCTTTAGTAATATTGGATGGACATTGCATTTAATATTCCTATCACATCTTATTTATTTGATAATGTACAATATTAAAATATTTGCAGTAATCATGGTAGCCTGAGAATTGAGAATTTTTTTAAAATGCAGAAATAAGTACAAGAAACCAAAGTCAATAGCATTAAAATGTTTTCTCTTACATCAAAGACCTTGTGCCACAATTATTGGCAAATACTTATGCAGTCATCTTAAATAAATCACAGAGGCTGAACGTGTATATATAGGGAAAACAATTACTTAAGTGAATCCACAGAGATGTTGAATATCTCCACCTCAAGTAAGTCATCTTTGCTTGGAGAAAACTCTTTGGAATAGGAAATACTATTTTAAGTTCAAGGACTGAAGGATTAAACCAAACTCATTTTTATTTAGTTAGATGTGGAAAAAATACAGAGTTAATTGGTGGGAAAGATCGGACTGTACCAGAATCCAATTATGGAGTCTTCAAAATACTAGTGAAATAAAAGTTAATGAGACATTTTAAGGACATTAGAATTTTATGATACTGATTTGTTTTGAAAAATGGCAAGGATAAACTTAAATTTAATATGATGAATTAAATTCTCTGTTCATTTTGGAATTTCAACAGAAAGAAAATGTAATTAAATATGTGTGTGTATGTTTCCAATTATGAATTTCTTTTGTTCGTTTCTTCCTTTTTATATTGATCTTGATTTATTAATTATCAGAAAACTGTGGTCAGTTTTATTATTATGTCCTCTGAATTATAGTAAATGTGTAGGGATGGATTACTCCAGTCAGCTCTAATTCAAACATGATGAACAGATGCCATCACGTAATTACAACCATGAATTTACATTATTTCAGTAAGTACTATAATAGGGAGTAAATTGGTTTGGCATCACTATAAAGTACTTATTAAAATGTGCTTTTCTTTCCTTACAAATAAAGTTAATACACATTAATTTTAATATTATAGTAATTAACTTGAGTATTATAAAGTTACTTAATTGTATAGTCTTTAGAAAATATTATGTAGTCTTTTTAATGGACATAGGCTTATTTTATAAGTAAATGGCTATAATAAATCAGTTATTAAGTTATTCAGTTCTTAAATAGATGGGTCATAAGAAGATGGATTATGATCTGTAACTATATAAAAGCAAATGAAAGAAGAGTGAGAGGAATTACTATCATGCACATAAAATATCATCTATAATTATTTACACCAGAAAATTATATCTGAGAATAAAAACAACAAAAACTGGTAACCATGAAACTGTATTAATTTGAAAATTCAAGTATTAGCAATTATTTTTTAAAAATGTTACTTATTATGTTTCCAATATAGCTATATTAGACAAAGTAATAAGTACACATGTTTGTAAAATGATATGCTTTTACAAATTACTTTGTAATTTGGTATATATATGGAAATTTTATTTTTCTTCCTTTACAAAGCTTTGAAATGATTTTTTAGTGTTATCAATTCAGGGATACATCTACATTTGTGGGAGATAGTCACAACTAGCAATACACCTTGAACATATCCCCAAAATCTAGCACTAAATTGACAAATATATACCAAAAAGCAATTGAAAAAATAAACACAGTTTTATAGTGTAAATTATATGTTTTAAATTTGTATGTATTCGTGTCATCCATTAGACTGCAGAAGTTTCAACAACAAGGGCCACATCTTATTTATAATATTTTATTCTTAGAGCTTATCACAATGTTTATCATGGTAGGAAATTAGTTTTTGTATTAGGTAGATATGCTTCTGACTGTAATCAACAGGAAACTCAAGGATCATAGCTTAAATCAATAAAGGTAATCCTTCTCATCTGACAAAGAAACTGGAGGTATGCATTCTAGGCTTTAAGCAGCATCTCAGTCATGAAATGTCTCTCTTCACCTGTCTTGTTCTCAATTTACATATTATGAGAGGGACTTCACCTTGCTTTTCCAAACCATATCCTAGTTCAGGTAGGAAGAAAGCAGAGCAGTGAGAGCTTTTCATATTGATGCTCTCTTCTGAGCAGAGACACCTGCCTGTCTTGAGACTAGCAAAGAGTCCCCCAGGTGGAGATCATTAGGGAAGAAGGAGACTAATCATGGTTTGTCCTCTGGGGTTTTCATAAGGATTTCTGCACACAGAGAGGAATAGAGTCTTCATTCAACTTCAAGGAATTGGGTTTAGTTAGCAGGAGCAAAGGAGACTATTGTGTAGTTTAGTAGACAACAAATATTCCAGTTTTTTAATTTTGTGATGGACAATGTTGCAATTACAAATGCATGAATTCTTCTATAATTTTGGTTATACTGGGAGAGAAACTATGCAATATTGAAAAGATGCTTTGTTTTTCAATTTGTTTTCTCAGTATAGGGCTTGATCTAACAATGACAATGGAAATTCAAATGTGTAATTATGTCCTTTCCTAGGCTTTGAAAGACAAATATGAACCTAGATTCCATTCATCGATTAATTGAGGAAACTCAAATCTTCCAGATGCAACAGTCATCGATCAAGCCACGCTGTGACAAGGAAGCTCCTAGCCCCTGCCCTAGGGACACCTGTGGTTCCTGCTTGCCACCTTGTGGGCTATCCTCTCCTGCAGCCTGTGATTTCAGTGCTCATCCCTGCAACACCAACAAATGGGATATTTGTGAGGAACTCCGCCGGCGCGAACTTGAGGAAGTCAAGGCCAGGGCGGCTCAGATGGAAAAGACCATGCGCTGGTGGTCAGACTGCACTGCCAACTGGAGAGAAAAATGGAGTAAAGTTCGAGCCGAGAGGAACAGTGCCAGGGAGGAAGGAAGACAACTCAGAATAAAACTAGAGATGGCCATGAAGGAGCTGAGCGCACTGAAAAAGAAGCAAAGTCTGTCACTTCAAAAGGAGGTGACAGAAGCCACAGTAACCCAGGACCTGGAGCTTCCTGGCTTTGCAGGGTCTCACCACCGGAAAGAACAGCTTCAAACTAGTTCAGCAATGTGTGGCTCCATCGGTTTGGAGAAAAGACAACTTGTTGAGGAGGAGGACACAAAGAGTAAGGTAAGAAAAAATCCGCTCAGGAATCCAGACATCACTGCACTTTGAACGTTGTTCAGACCCCTGGGGCAAAGGGACAGGAACAAACCCAGCAGTGCCTCTCTCTGAGCCAGCAGGGCCACAATCTGGGTGGGCCACACGACACTGATTTAGTCTTCCACAGTTCTAGGGGCGAGAAGTCCAAGACTAAGGTGTCTGCAGGATCCTCTTCTCCTGAGGCCTCTCTCCTTGGCTTGTAGGGTCTTCTCCCTGTGTCTTCACCTCATCTCTTCTCTGTGTCCAGATTTCCTCTTCCTACAGAGACAGCATCACTAATTCCTCTCGAATGCCCCCTTTTAACTTGATCACTGCTTGAAAGACCCGATCTCCAAATACAGCCCTGCTCTGAGCTATCAGGGATGGGTATAGAGTTTTCAGGAACACGATTAATCATATTGTGACTTTACTAACATATAGCAAAAAAATGGTGCAGCATTTAAAAAATGTGAACAGAAAATATTTGGAGAGATTTCTCTCCATTCACCCTAAGTGTGTCAATAATGATACATTATTAGAGGAGATTGTTGCTTAATTCTTTAGACTTGCCTCGCTACTTGGAAAAAGATAACTTTGGGCAAATATAAAGAATACATACCATGATTCATACTTGGAATTTTCTAGAGTTGTTTGCATCTTGAGATTTATGGGAATTCTGCATAAAATAAAGTTTCTAAAAAATGTGTTTTAGTAGTTCATGCATTCATTTATCAATAATCTCCTCCCCTTTTTATGACCTGATATGTGCTTAGGGACATACTTAGGGAAATTTTAGAAACTCATGAAAGCTTGGTCCATAAAATCATATTGCTACCCCATCTATGAAATTCCATCTCTAAAAACCTGTTGGTCAACATCTTGCAGCTTTAGAATTTATCTAAAATCTTAAGTTTTTTATACTGTTTGCAATTTATGTTAGATATAGTCTAGATCCCATTGCAAATGAAGAATTTCAACAGACTGAAATAACATGATTATTTCTACTAGTTTGGTCTTCTAATTGCTTTTGCTTACCTTGACAATGCAGGCTGCTAGTACCTTTATGTACATCTTCCTAGGAATGGGAAATGTTCTCCAAATTCAATTGTGTTAATATATAAATTTGGAAATAGAGATTGGCTACAGGAATGTAGTCAATATAATGTGCCATAAATCCACAAAAATATTTCTTTATTATTAGAAGTCACTAGACTGTGTATGAGAAAATGAAAGATTTTCTGTACACATATTATGCTGGGAAATTCTTAAATTCTTGCACTTTCATTTGGAATATCTTTGTGTCATTAGTGTTAAGAACAAATAATACATAGATGTATTTATTCAAAGTTTTATTTTGGAAAAAATACATAAAATGCCTTATGATTGCAAGAACATAAATGTTTTCTGTTGAAGAAATTTCACTTGGTTTCTTTACTTTGACAAGTTTCACTGTTAGCTCTGGACACACAAGAAGAAAACCTGTGAACATAGAACTTAGGTGAACACTTTACTTAACCAATGATTTTTTTTTCTTAGACCTTAAAAATGAAGTATAGGACTCATTTTATTGTTTTTAAAGTATTGTAAATAATTGCAATATTAATTATGAATATGATTAAGACATGGATAATACTAGGTAACTTGGTGTTCACATAGTATCTTAAAAAGAAAATACTATAAATCAAGTATCTTTGAAATTTTAATTGCACTTAGCTTTTTTCTATTTAATTCTCATAAGTCAGGTCAAATTTAAATTATAAACAAATATCCACAACATGAGTTCAATGGAGTTTTGGAATTATTACACAGGATTTTTGGTTCAGTGTGCTGTCCTGGTAATTGATTTCCATGTTTATTAAAATGTCTTAATTTCTATGTGAGATCTGGCTAGTGAACTAAAATTAAACAAGCATGCATATTAACACATTCAGGACCTTCCTGAAAATTCATTCTTTCTATCCCATCCTTCAAAAAAATGTTTTAAAAAATCAGATTTTTTTTTAACTTTGAAACTCTCAAGGTCCTTGTGACAAAATAAGTTTTAAAAAAAGAATTAATCAGTTTATTAAAAACTCTACGTCTATTCAAATTTACCCAGGTTTATTTTGAGTTGTGATTAGGAAAAGAAGACAAACTGCAAGCTAAAGCAGACCCCTGGAGAAATTGTTTTATAATAATGTTAGAATACAGAAAGAAATAAGTTTGAAGGAGAATGTGATTTTGTTGGGTCACATGATATGACCCTTAGGGAATGATAATGAAATACAAATATAGATTTGATGTTTATCACAACATTTATTTTCCTTTGAGAATGTTTTGCTTATGAGTTTTCTCCTGAGTCTAAAATATTCAACACAATAATTGGATTATGTTTTCCTTTTCTCAGGAAGAAGGTGTGGTTCTTGATTCATTAAGATTAAATGAGGAGATGAAACCAAATCCGGATTGCACTGATTTGTTCAGGAAGGGTGGTTTTGGAAGCTGTGCCATGAAGCCTGGGCTGAGACTGCCAGCAGGGAACCTGTCCCCAGAGAATGCAGTGACTAAAGTCTCATCCTGGCAGCTGCCTTTGGAAGACTTCCAAGAAATCCTGTGGAAGGAGAGAGAGTAAGTGCTCATCTTTGTCTCCCTGAACAGAATTCCTTCAGTCTGATAAGCTGGTCATTTGATGATGCATTTGATCTATGTGTAGACACAAGTTGTAAATCTATGCCCAGCATGGGTGAGGCCCTGGGTTCAATCCCCAGGGATTGGAGAAAAAAAAAAAAAGTGTACGATTTGAAAAGATGAGCTGTGCGCACACACACACACACACTTTTAATTTTGAAAGTAACTCATAACTTGTTAATCCTTACCATTCTTTTAAGATGACTTTTACCATTAACATGTTATCATCTCTCATTAGGCTAATGGTAATTGTATTTGGATTTTTAATGTAGACTTTTAAAATACTGTGTATTCTCTATGTTTTATAGCTTTATTAGACTTTAGTGAGTCAACAAAGATGAATAAATGTTAATATTATTAATGGACAAATCAGTTTTATGACTCATTAATCACAGAAAGGAACCCTTACATGCTGTCCAAGGTGAAATAGAGGAAGCACACTGGACTTGAGACTAGGTGACCCGGACCTCCTTCCTCTCTGGTTCTGACATGTTCTAGCCAGAGATATTGGGCTACTGTTTCCCTTAAGGACACAAGGTGGCGCTACTATGCTGCTGCTATCCTTTAATAACATATGTTCCTAATCCTGTTTGTTTTGTTTTGTTGATATTGGGGATTGAACTCAGGGGCCCTCAACCATTGAGCAATATTCCCAGCACAATCTTGTATTTTATTAGAGACAGGGTCTCACTGAGTTGGTTGGGCCCTTATGGTTGCTGAGGCAGGCTTTGAACTGATGTCAGTCCTCCTGCCTCAGCCTCCTGAACCTCAGGGATTACAAGCATTCGCCAAAATCCTGGTTCTTAAAGCAACGCCTCCATGTACTCTATTGATGCATCATAAGCATGGCTGGACAGCCCATCTCATCTTTTGGCTGGGATGGCTCCAATTTGCAGGTAGCTGGAAGGCTGGGAGTGGGATGTCTGAAGTTTGGATCACTCACAGTTCTGGAGGTCGGCCTTGGTTCTCATCAGGGGTCTCTGTTGTAGCACTCACCAAAGGACTGTGTGGTTTCCTCCCAGCCCAGTGATTAGATTGCGTGAGAGCATCTTAAGATCACCCAGAAAACAGGTAGCATGTTAATGACGTGAAGTCAGGGAGTGTTTCTTCTGACACTTTTGGTAGAGGCAGTCTCACTGGCCCACTCAGGCTCCAGGGCGAGGGCCCCTGGCAATGGGAGGAGTGTGGATTATTTCATGATCAGGGCAGGTAGGAGGCAATCATGTGGGGGACAGCTTTATCCCGTCTTCTTCTTTATGGCACTCTTGTTAGGATTACACACAAATGGTGTCTGGGAAAGAGGCGGAAATGTGAAATACTCCGTGTGTGTATGTGTGTGTGTGTGTGTGTGTGTTTCCTTCATGATTAGCTTAAACGCATTAGCATAATGTGGATGGAATTTTTGATGCATTTTAAAATATACCTACCAAATCTGAAAGTAATTATTTCTCCATCTCCTTAGTCAAAAGACTCTAAATGGGTAGAGCTAGAAAAAGAATAGGGATGCACACACACCCATAGATGATAAGTATATATTATATGCTTCCATATATGTCACATATTTAAATAATTATATAATATCAACTTTTATTGATGATATAAGTATGTAATATATTATATATTTGATATCTGGTTTATATTGACTCAAATAGTAATAAACATGTGCACAAGCTTTTCAAATGTACTGCAGCTGTTTATCTGCCATTCCTTCTCCATCAGCCTGAAGTGTCTCACTATTCACTCTCCATTTTTCGAGCGATACTAATTCCTTTTTGCAGATTTTTTATCTGTGCTTCACAACATTTATAGATTGTGTTAAATGTTCATCTGTGCACTAATGTATACTATATTATTCTACCATCAAGTATAAATTCCTAATAGAGGAAAAAAAACATTAGTAGAAAAAAGAACGCAACTGAGTACAATTTACACTTGTACACATGTTGAAAATCTCATCTGGCCCTTGAATTCTCAGTGAAATTGGAGCCTTTTAGTTTTTATTTCTTGAAGGATTTAGCTCTCTGTAGTCACATACTTCTCTCAAATCTGCCACAGTGTAATAGGAATGGTGTTCTGCATTTCTCCAGATAGAACCCTTTTCTATTCTAGGATGCCGGTTTTAATGGTATTCATATGCTACCTTTATGCGTCCAGCATACACATACACAAAACATATTTCTGACTTCCTTGTACTGAATTGTCAATCCCCAGGGGAAGTAAACTCTCAGTTCTCAGCTACTTCAGCATGTAAACCTAGATATGCCAAAGAATGAAGAGGGTGGGGGTCTGACTCTGACTCGGCTCTGGCTGTGTCTTCCCACTGCCTCTTAGAAACAATTCCACGGGGGTCATGAGTCCTGGTGGGTGTGTCTGTCAATCAGCTTTTGCATGGAACCCACAGGAGGCAACTACAGTCTTTATACCACAAGAGAATGTTCCCAGGGATATAGTATTGCTAGCATTCTCTCTAATCTTATAACCCTTTCTTCCTGGAATATCAATGAGTGGGTGGTTTCAGTAAAGAAGCTATGAATATAATTTTTTCTGTGTTTCCATCTAGTCTCTTGACTAGAACACAGGAACCAGCTGCAGAAATACAGGGAATCATTTCCAGCCATGTATGTCCCTCTCTAGAACCTCTCATCAAGTCCACTAAAATTATTATATTGTTCATATTCAGAACACTGTTTAGTTTTATGAACAATTTCCCAACATATGGAAACTCCATATATATATATATATATATATATATATATATATATATATATATATATATATATATACTTAAAGATATCTCAGGTACAAAATTTGGAATGAGGATAGGAAACCTGATGTTCTTACAGACCTAGGTGGACCTAAACATTAAGAGAGAAGAGTTTTGGCACTACCAAATCCTCTGTAAAGGAGGCCACGAGGTAAACTACTTTGATGAAATGTCTAAGCATATGAATCAGTCTTCCACTTCAACTATGCAGAGCACTCTGTCCCTTATAAATGCTTGCTTTGTGTCATTTAAGCTGAGCTTCAGTTCATCCTATTTTCGTTCCTTAATCTGTTTTTCTATATAAAAGTAGCATGCTTATATTTTGCTTTGCTTCATTAAGTGTTGAAAATTTTTGGTAATAAAATGAGATTTAAAGTACCATTGAGAAGGTGTAGTGAGTTAAAAAGCTTTAAAGATTTATATATATATATATATATATATATATATATATATACACACACACACACACACACACACAGACATATATATATATACACACAGATATATACATATATATGTATATATAAAAATATATATAGTATATATTTAGAAAGATAAATATGACATTTCTATTTCCTACATATATGTACATCTATTACTCAACACAATGAAAAAAGTGATATATATTGAATATATTGGCTGCCAGATACAAAACTATCATCAGGAGAGTGTTCAGGCAGCAGTCAGGGAAAGCTGTAGGCAGTGGGGTCTTCTTGGACCATTTCTGTGGCATGACAGTGCACTTGTCCCTGACTGCTTTACCTCCAAGCCTTGTTGTCTGAGTTAATGTGCTTAATTACATTTCTTATCTAATTAAATAAATTATACATGGCTTTATTGGCAACTTAAGAACACCCATTGATAAAAATATAATTATAAATAGCTGGGAATGTGATCACAAAATAACATCTATGTTGCTTGTGAAAGCATATTTGTAGTAACTTTTATTGTTAGCATTTAAATACTAACTCTAAATTTTAGACTGTCATAAAAATAAATACATTTATGTTTTTCATGCTCAATTATTTTTATTTGGCAAAAATATTTTGAAACTAATGACTTATTAGGAAATATTGATTAGACATTTTTTTCAATGCAATTTTCCAGAGTGCAAAATTATTAGTATTTATTCCCAGATATTAATGTTTCAAGACTTCACTTCCAAGAAATGTTTTGAATAGTCTTCCTGTACAAATATCTAAATTTAATCTTCAACTACTGTGAGATCATGATAGATAATAATGTATTAAAGATCAGACATAGGGGCTGGGGATGTGGCTCAAGCAGTAATGTGCTCGCCTGGCATGCGTGGGGCGCTGGGTTCAATCCTCAGCACCACATAAAATAAAATAAAGATGTTGTGTCCACCGAAAACTAAAAAAAAATAAATATTAAAAAATTTTCTCTCTCTCTTAAAAAAATATTTTAAAAATCAGACATAAATATATCACACCTTTCCATAAAAGTAATTTTAGTTAGCATTTTACCTTTTAGAACCTATACATTTCATATATATCAATCTGATTTTTAAAATTTCATAATATCAAATAAAAGATGATCTATTTTTGTTGAGTCTTATGTTTTTAATTTTGTTCTTTTAAGTAATGTGTACATGAAATATGTAGTATTTTTAAAGTAGATATGGGATTTTTTCTTTGCTTCTTATAGTTCAAGTAGCATCACCCTGGCATTCATTTCAATTGTACATTTAGCTATAGAATTAATCATTTTTGAAAATCTCTCTGAAATGGAATAAATTGATTAGGATAAAATATTAAGGACTTGTAGGGTGCCCTCTGCTGCATAAATGTGGATGTGCAATATCCTCAATGCTTGCACCAAACCACACATTTTACAAATATAGGGCCACACTAAAAATATTCAAGCACCACATGTTCATTTAATGATTTTTTTGTGAATTACTTGCCTTCTCCTGTACATGATCAAAGTATAATGTTTTACTTACTACAAGTACTTGACTCTTTAAGGAAACTGATATATTGGATGTTTATTTAAGATGTATACTTACAAAGAAAAATAGTACTACACTGGATGTTTATTTAAGATGCATACTTACAGAGAAAAAATAGTACTATATTTGAAATGTTACTAATTTGCTTTATATAGAAAACAAGTCATTATTAATTTTAATTTACTTTGGCCTGATTATATTCTGTTTAATTCATGGATTGTCTTTGGATATTTAGTCTAGGTCTAGATATAATCTAGATGTAGTTATATCTTTATATTTTATGTGACTGAAAGTATATGTGAAATAATATAATTATTTATATTATAAATCCCCTGGCTAGTGTTTGAACCATCCTTACCTAATCAGAGAGAGTCCAGAGGGAGAAAGAGAAAGACAGAAAGAGAGAGAGGTGATCTTCTTCAACCAGGTAAAAAACCCTAAAAGAAAAATAACTCCAATAATTTTGATAAAACTTAATATTAAGCAACGTGGGTCAACATTCATTCTCAGTGACATATAACATTTTTTAATGCACGTTATTTTTCCCAAAAAGTTTAACTTAATTTGAATTATTAAATTATCATTTGATTTAAATGCAATGTCAAAAGGTGACACTTGATTTCTGATTATATAGGATTTTGAATTTGTGATTTAAATATCTAGAATTTATCAATTTTTCAAGTATAATTTTCTTAGCATTCTATTTTTAAAATAACAAAATTAGTTTTAGGCAAAATATCAAAGCATATTCCATTACACAAATGTAGTTAACTAAAATTTTTGATTAATTTTTTAGTAATTTTACATTTTGTCTACCATTTAAGTTTTTCAAATATTGACATTATTCCAAATTTCTATTCATTCAAACCTAATAAATCAAAATTTTAAATTTTATGATGATTATATTGAATGTCCTAACAAAGTTTCAAGCTTAGAGCTACAATTTTTAGACTATTCAACTTAAATTCAAAGTGCTAGTTAATACCTGAAAACTTTTAATATTCTAATATGCATTATCATCCCAAATTTAAAGTTTCCATGTGCCCAATAGGTATTGTATTTCCTAAAGTATTTCAATGATTTGTAGACATACTTTCTAACTCAACACAAAATAATATATTTGGTGATCTGAAAATTATTTCTGTACTTATTTTCTTCTCAATATCCCAAACACTATTTCTGTGCTTTTTTTTTTTTTCTTCTCAACATCCCAAACACAGTCACTAATTTGGACAGAAATAAATCTTGGTAAGAAGCTTGGGTGTTGGCTGGCTGGGTTTGCTCATCAGAAATTGGAGCCGAGGCTATTAATTGGAAGCATAGATATTCATAGGCACAGTTTTGAAACCTAGACTTCTACACTGAACTTTTTCATTTGGTAATTTTGTTTAATGTATTTGCTGTGATAATAAGGATTGCAAATCAAAATCCTTATAAAAATTATGGTGGATTTTTTTCAACCTGAGTCCTTTGTAGTTAAACTAAGCTGTAAATAAGTCTTTTATATCCTTGTGTGGCTTGATTCATGCAAATGCAATTATATAACTCTTTAATAGGCTCCTTATCCATTTGATTGGATTAAACTAATATATTTATAGCCTGATACTATTTGAATTATTCTTACAGCATTGCTACTAGGAAAATTCATATTTCCTACAGATAGGTAAATGATGCTCAATTTTGATTCCACATGCATTTTCTACTTTATAAATACATTTCAAGCTCTTCCTAATAGCACTTACATTACTAAAATAAATCTGTGTGCTTATTAATTATAATTACCATAAGGCTTTAACTATCAAACACAAAAATCTCAGTGTTATATAACACTCAGAATTTATTTAGCTAGAGCTGAGCATGTGCGATCTTCACTAGTTGTTTGCTGTTTCACATCTAATATCCTCTGTCTGAGCTTAGAGTTGAGGAATGAGGAAATCAACTCCATCATGAAACGAGGAAAAAGAAGGAGGATGTTTGAACAGAAATCTAATATCTCAGACAGGCGAGGACAGGCCAGCTGTAAAGGTCAACCTATGCTAATGACAATCACACATAAATTAATTATTTTCAGTGACTCACTCTAGTGGACATTGTGGGCAAGGAAAAAAAATATCAAAGGCTTAGGTGTTAAAAGACCAGATTTTATCCTACTTCTGTTTCTATTTCTACAAATGGAACATGAATCTAAATTATTTCCAGTAGTTTAAATAGAGATCACAGTGAAATTGCTTTGTTAAAACTAAATTGCAAATAATAAAAATATTTTCAACTCCCAATAAGTGACTAATTTTTAAACTTAGATGAGCTTCTTGGTGTTCTGTGTCATATCAGAGGATGCTTCATTCATATACGGTTACAAGAGGAAGATGTGTCAAAACCGCGATGAAATTAGAAACATGTATGTCCTTCTGTGGGTGGAAGTCATGGAAATGTGAGGAACTGACAGAAATGCACGGCAGCAAGCAGAAGGGCAGTGTTGGCAAAGCTGAGTTTACTTTGTTTGATCTACCTTAAAGCTAATTGCCAGAATAACAAATTCAACCAAGTTTTAGTCAATATTTATACATTTTATACATTGAAAGCACATTTTCTCTCATAATGGCCATTAACAAGCGTCAAAGATTAGGAAGAAAGAAAACACAAAAATTGATACATTCCTAAAATCATTTTCAAAATATGTCTATTTCACTTTCTTTTACTTCTTCTATGTTTTAGGATGCGTGTTGCTCTGGAAAAGGAGGTAGAACGCCTGGAGTCAGCTCTGTCCCTGTGGAAATGGAAGTACGAGGAGCTAAAGGCCTCCAAGGAGGCCAACGTGCAAGAGGTACGTCAAGATTCAGAGGAGAGAGGGCAGCAGGTTGCCTGTCTCGGAGTGGGTAACGCAGTGAACCCAGGGCAGAAGGCATGGCAGAGAGGAGAAGGTGGCTAAAAGATGGAAATTCCTCTAAAGAAAACTATTTGAAAGCACGTGTCAGTAGCAGACTTAGTCACACCCTGGCAGTAAGAGTCTGGTTCTGAATGGCACACTGTGCTGCAGTTTTATGTTAGTATTTCTGTTTCTTAGAACCCTCTGTTGTATATATTTGAAGTGTACATATAGACGGTGAGATGGTTCTTGATCAACATGACGGTTGGTACCCGGTACCCACTATAGACTCCTGGGAAGGGACTGCTCACGTTGTATTTCCTACCATCCATCATAAACAACTAACTGCTCATATTCTTTAATGAAGCAGTCTGAAATATCAATTTATCCCTAGTGGGTTTAGGTTCTGTTCATGGTGGCATTATAGTTATTTATGATCAACCATTTTTCTTTCTAAAAAAATATTTTTTGTTTGTAGATGAACACAGTACCTTTATTTTATTTATTTATTTTTATGTGGTGCTGAGAATAGAACATAGTGCCTCACACGTGCTAGGCAAGCACTGTATCGCTGAGCTACAACCCCAGCCCCCCCAGTTGCCTTTTTACATTTCTTTTGCATTATTGCCTGTGGAATATTGTCATTGACCCTCTCATTTGAGTGGTTTATTAATACCTAGTATTCAAAGACATAAAAAGAATGAAATCCTGCCTTTTGCAACAATGTGGGTGGAACTGGAGATCATTGTGTTAAGTGGAATAAGTCAGGCGCAGAAAGACATCCTCTGTGCAACCTCACTCCAAAGTGAACATTAGAATACAGATGTCATACAAGTTGGGAGTAGAAAGGTGGTGACCACAGGCTGGGGCCAGGGAAAAAGGAGGCCTAGTGGAGGTCAAGCAGTGTGGGGTAACTGAGATGGGACTAAGAGGTTTGGGCTTGCTGTTTCACAGTAGGGTAATTATAGCAATGGCAACGTGTTTCAAAAATCTGGAAGAAAATACTTTGAATGTTTTGCCATACAGAACTGGTAAATATTTGAAGAGATAGATATGTTCAAAATGATGTACACACTACAATGTATTCAATACACAATGTATTCATGTATTGAAACAACACACAGTGTCTCATAGATACATATACAATTTTTAAGTTTTAGGTATCAGTTAAAAATAAATTTAATAAAACAAAAAGAAAGTTGGGCACTGTGGTGCACACCTGTAATCCCAGCAACCTGGGAGGCTGAGTCAGGAGGATCACAAATTCAGAGACAGCCTCAGAACTTAGTGAGGTCCCTAAGGAACTTAGGGAGACCCTGTGTAAAAAAAAATAAAAAATAAAAATAGAAATAAAATAAAATAAAAAGAGCTGGGGATGTTGCTCAGTGTTAAAGCGACTCTGGGTTCAATCCTTTACCCTACCCCCAAAAAAAATTAAAAAGGAAAGTAATTGTACATATTCTGTGTTCATTGTATCAGGTTAGTGTTCGGGAAAGAAAAATGAGCAAATCAAAGGAAAGAAAATAATGAGCAAGAATGCTGACAACTAAATCCTATCAAGTAGGTTAACATTTAGCAGGTGCATGTGAAATATGCAGATATCGTATACATGCACACACACTTACACGAATATATGAACTGGTGATATTTATATATGCACAAGTACCTAACTGAACCTGGAGACTCTGGCTACAAACATTTGCAATTAATTAGTTTACTTTTACTGGAAGAATAGTTTACAATATGAAAAATCATGTTATTCTTAAATACGTGTATATGCTATATATGCTAATGGATTCTAAATTTGACTAAGAAAACTAATATGTGAGATAAAATTGGTTTGAAATCCAATTTTCAAAAAGGCCACATGCATGTACTATCTCTTGCCACTAGTGTGCAGTGCAGACTTGATAATGTCACTGAGTAAGCCTTTTTATTCAAGAAATTTAACACTAACATTGTAACTGGTTGGGGAAGAAGTCATGGTTTCGATTCAGTTTATAAAGCAATATGTATATTTTTAAATGTTTGATATTTTATATTCAAGGATGATTTTTGGTAGCAAGTCTGATAATGTTCACTCTAAACAAATCAACAAAAATATTTAGGTGAAAAAAATAAAACAAATATACAATTATAAAATATAAATTTCTTCTTTCTTTGATATCCATACAGAATTACGTATTTATACACATGTGATGCTTTTGCAATATATAATAGTGGTAGGGTTTTCAGAATAGAAGAAAGAAGAAAGAATTTTTATTATAGATGAAGAAAATTTATAAACATAAATGGTTTGTTCTATTTATACGGGATTGAAAAAAATCTCTTTCACTTCCTAACAAGTAACTCATTTTATTCTTAGAATCTTTTTGTATGAATGTTGTATGCACATTTATTTTAATTTTTATATAATGATGAAATGTTTAAAAATATTCAAAACTGAACTAATAAGAATACCTAGTCACATATAATTAATTATATGTCTTTTGTTTAATTCTTTTAATAATGGATTACAACAGAAGAAGGATTTTATGGTATATTTTAAAATGGCATTGTCAGGTAAGTGTAAGGACAAAATATTCAAAGTCTAGATACAAGTTGATTGACATTCAGAAAAAGTGTGTCATGATGCATGAGTTGAAACTTTATATGTATTATTCTTTCTTACTCTCTGTCTCCTCAAAACTTTTGATAATTACCTTCACTTTCACTGTCTAGTTTTATGGTTTTATACATAAAACTGTTCAAATATAAGAGCAGTTCTTTTGTGGATACCAGAAACAGTTTAAAAGCAAATTCATGTCTGGTTGAGGACTGCTGATGGAAAGATTAGCAATTGTTAGAGCTGGAAACAGATGTGCTTGGTCGAGCTAGATTTTTAAAAATGTATTTAAAAGTCTGGTGTGCTTTAGTGAGAAATCATTCTTAAATCACTGACATTTAGAGGAGAGAAATGGTAAGAATTTAATTGTAAAATCTAAGTAAGTATTTAAAATGCAACCAAGATAATAAGCAATAGAGGTAATTATATCCAAAATGCTGTTCCTGTGTTGAATTTAATACTTATTCAGCTCTTTCTTTGCAAGTCTATACATATTGATTTGGAATTAGATTACAAATTCTAAGTGTGCTGAAATGATCATTCCTATGAAATCTCATGGTCTAGAGGATCAAATATTCATGCAAGAAACATTGATTACAAATAACTGTGACAACTCATTTAAAGAATCAATGACTCTTATTCTTTCCATAATGGAAGAGATCCTTTGACATATATGAGAATACTGCTAACATTTTAAATCGTCTCAATCTAAAAACCTGAAAGTTTACATTTTTCTTGAAAATACTGTGCTTCTACCTCTTACTCTTTTATGAATTGTATTAAATAAAATATAAAATATTGTATCATTTTGTGATCATAAAATATGTCTAATAGTTTATAATTCACAGTGATTTTCATTAAATGTTTGTGAATGATTATGTTCAGAGGCAAAGGCATCTTGCTACCCCGATGGTAACAGCCTGCATCAGAGTCTTACCTCTGACATTTCAAACACCTTTCTGATGTGGTGGTAATAGGTTAGAATTACTAGCTGCACAAGCTAAAATTTTACACTTACATTTTTTAAAGATATGTCATGGGGACGCTATTCCACACCTACCAAGAAAAGGTCCTTGAAGATTCTTATTAGTAATAAGCATCTGGAGAACTATCAGCACAGTTGTGAGAGCCAAGCTAATTTGGAAACATTGTCTCATTGCTATTCTTGTGGCTTAAGAAATAATTTCATAGAAGTGAGTGAAAACATTAATGTATCTCTTCGATTCTCCCTCCAAACTACATCTGGTACCGTCCCTTTCCATTCCTGCCCCATCCCCGTCAGAGCCAGCACCATCTCTTGCTTGGTGTCTCCATCCAGGTCTCCTCACCACCATGCCTGATCTACTTGACTCCTTTTCCATCCATCAACCAAGGAGACATTTCTAAAGCTTTACATTTGTTTGAAACATTCCAAGACCTCCCTTGCACTTAAAGTAAGCGCTGTCTTCCAAGAACTTTGGGAGACCAGGAAATGCAAATTCACCTGGCCAAACCACCTTGCAGACATTTGATGGATGCCCAGTGATGACACCACTCATTTCTACCTTAACTGCTGAGCAGTGACACAATTTTAGCTAATAGTGCCCAACAGACTTTTTTTTTTTTTTAAGTAAGTACCATCCCTTTTTCTCCTCTGTTTGGAGGGCAGTCTTCTTCCACTCTGCCACTCTGTGGTCCTCTGGGTTCTCAGAGGCCACATAGCTGGATGATAGGCATCAGGATAAAGATTAGGAAAAAGGAAGGAGGTCAAGTGGGAATGATTTAGATGGGCCAGGCTTCGGAGTAGAGCACATGACTTCCCCTTCCCAACTCAAGGTGCGTTACTCAGTGGACCAGCCACACAGAATTCTATGTTGAGAAATACGTTCAAATGTTTTACTCAAAAGGAGAAAGAAAATAGATTAGATAAGCATCTAACTAGTGTCCCATTTGGGGTCAACATGTTATCTAATACAGCGATACTTATTAATATGACATCTTGTTAATAAATGCATTGGCTAAAATATTGCTTTCATTGTAATTGATAAATGATGAAGAATTCAGCTTATATTTAAGAGAACGCAGGCTTCCTAATTCTGAACCCTCACATTAAGAGCTTGCCTTACATCCATGCAGCTGTTTTTACCCCAGGGGACCCTGTCACTTCATGGCCTATGTTCTGGAGAAAGATTGCAGGGTGTGTGCTTCCCACACACATCTCTTTCCCAGAGAAATGGGTGGTGGTGGGGGGGGGGCGGTGAACAGAGCTGCACATCTCCAGTTTCCCCTTCAACTCACCAACCAGATGATCCTCCATCCACTGGGGAGGCGAGTGGAGTCTTGGGGGGCAGCTGGGCATCTACAGGGGTGGTGG